TTTTCCCGATCTACAGATAATAGACAACCAATTGTATAAACATTTCCCTCGCAAAAATGTGTTTGACCCACGACCAGAATGGAAACAATGCGTACCAATGGAGAGGCGGTCGGAAGTAATACACGATCAGCATGATGTGGTTCATGCTGGGCACCTTGGAATGTTTAAAACTTTAAAAAGAATCCAAGAGAATTATTACTGGCCAGGTATGTCAAGGGATGTACGGGAATACATCCGAAGCTGCGAAACATGCGCCAGATATAAGGTAGAACAGAAGGCCCCCTGTGGATACATGCACACCATGCAATGCAGTGCACCCTGGGAACTTGTATGTGCTGACTTCGTGGGGCCGCTGCCAAGATCTAAGCACGGAAACACATCATTGTTGGTGATTATTGACAAATTTAGCAGATGGGTGGAGTTAATACCAACCCGAAGAGCAACTGCGCAGGATGTCGTCAAAACCCTCAAAGAGAGAGTTATTTACCGATTTGGCTGTCCGAAAGCATTGCTGACTGACAACGGGGTACAGTTTACAAGCCGGATATTAAATTCCTTTCTCAACGACCACCACATTGAACATCGTAAAACTGCCCTTTATGCTCCACATGAGAACCCTACCGAACGCACCAATCGGGTCGTGAAAACCATGATAGCCCACAATACGGGTACGGATCATCGCAACTGGGATCAGTATTTACCCGAAATATCTTTTGCCATAAATACTGCGGTTAGCGAATCCTCAAAATACTCTCCGGCTGAAGTCGTGTTTGGTCATAACCCCATTACTCCGAACACCTTGCACCTTCCCACTTTGAACCCGCCGAGAAACAATAACATGTACAAAGAACTTTGGAAGAATGTGAAAGAAAATCGGAGGAAAGCGAGCCACACACAGCAACATTACTATAATCTACGACGAAGAATATGGACACCGGCAACAGGTAGCGAGGTATGGGTTAGAGAACGTCAATTATCATCCGCGGCAGAGAACTTTAACCAAAAACTAGCCCCGAAATATTCAGGACCATACGTTGTTTCCTCTGTAATACATCCCAACATCGTCGAAGTGAGAGACGAAAAGGGAAAAACAAAAAGGGTAAGCTTACAAGATTTGAAACCTTACCTTTCTAGTAAACTAAATGATAATGAGTGCATTATCACAATCTTCTCTCGCATAAAATAAATTCACTCAATAAGTACTGATGAGTGTACGCTCGCTCAATCGCTCATCACACAGTTATAATCACTCAAATAAAAGACCCGTTATAAAGTTTGTTGTAAGATGGTTTTACAAAAGAGGGTTCATTTATGTCGTAACAATCAAGACAAAAGGATGGAACGCAAGCCCACCAGACCGCGGAAAGAAACCACACCAGCCCAAGCCCCGAGACCTTACCGACCTCCTATTGAGGCTCGTCCCCGGATAATCTCTGATGTGGTTATCCCGGCTCGGCAAGTTCGATTTACGACACCCAGCAGTAGTGCCCCTCCACCATTGCGTCACTTCGCACGAGCAGAACAAACGCAGCCACGTCGGTCAGGAGGCATGCCCGTGTTGGATAATGTGGCAGAACATGCACGAAACCCAGAACCACCCCGAACAGTCGTAGCGGACAACAACATGCAACAACAAAATATGTCGGGCCCCATTGCAAGCTCATCAATTTCTCGGCCAGAAATGACATCTAACAGTCGCTCCCAACCAGCTCAGTTAGCGTATATCCAGCCACGACAGTCAGACCGTGAATTATTGCAATGGTTACAGTCTCTTCATATTCAGAGACCACGTGGTCGCCGTCACCAAACGATCCTCTATTATGCGAACAGACCAGCTGTCAAGGTGACCTTCCTCAATGCCGAGCGTGCACGACTGATGTGCCGAAATATTGTAACCACTGTCTCTTTGGTTCCCCGATCCGCACAGCCTCCAACACGTTATAACAGGGTGGCGTAAAAGAAAAAACATTTTAATTAAGCTGTAGGACAGCATATAATAATATCGTTTATTTTTTTTAGTATACAAGCTGTAGGGCAGCAGGTATTATTTAGTACATAAGCTGTAGGACAGCAATAAATATAGCACATATTTTTGTTTGTAAGGCCGTAGAATAGGTGCTTTTCTTTTTAAAGTAAAATATGTTGACGTGAGCTCTCCTTTGGGAGAGTAAAATTCACCTATGGTGCGGGCCACTGGCCAAAACTCGGTCAACGAAAATAGAAAGTTAGGGGAAGTTATTAATTCTTTTTTTCTCTTTTCTTTTTTTTCTCGAAGTAAGGGGGGGATGTAACGTGACCGCTACATTTCACACCACCTTATTATATACCCCTCGTTAATATAATACTACAATACCTACATTTAAGCAACTCACTTTGCAATTATAATAACTAGGTATCTGACTTCAATGAACAGACATGGGGATATTGTTGAGATATGGGAAAACAATTCTCATTCACTTTGTGTTGTCGTACAGATAAGTGTTCCAGTTTTCGTCGGCAGAAATTGTCGAGTGCTGGAGTTGGACCAAGTACGAGCGAAACCGACTTGTGGCAGTGTCCGCAGTCGTAGTACCTTGTACCGAACATAGCCGAAGCCTTCGACCTGCGATTCGTTCGCTTCCGCGACTCGTTCGCTTCCTGCTATTCGTTCGCTTCCTGCGATTTGTTCGCTTCCTGCGATCCGTTCGCTTCTATATAACTCTTCTCGTTTCAGAAGGAGTTTGAACGAAGGGCCCCACCGACTACATCAACCCGAGCCGATTACTTCAACCGAGCCGACTGCTCCAACCGAGCCGACTACATCAACCCGAGCCGACTACTACAATTCCGAGCTGACTACTACAATCCCGATCCGACTACTTCAACCCGAGCCGACTACATCAACTCGAGTCGACTACATCAACCCGAGCCGACTACTTCAACCGAGCCGACTACATCAATCCGAGTCGACTACATCAACCCGAGCCGACTACTTCAACCGAGCCGACTACATCAATCCGAGCCGACTACATCAATCCAAGTCGACTACATCAACCCGAGCCGACTACTTCAACCCGAGTCGACTACTTCAACCCGAGCCGACTACATCAACCCGAGCCGACTACATCAATCCGAGTCGACTACTCTAACACGAGCCGACTACTTCAACCGAGCCGACTACTCCAACACGAGCCGACTACTTCAACCGAGCCGACTACATCAACCCGAGCCGACTACATCAACCCGAGCCGACTACATCAAGCCGAGTCGACTGCACCAACCCGAGCCGACTACTTCAACCCGAGCCGACTACTTCAACCCGAGCCGACTACTACAACCCGAGTCGACTACTATAACACAAGCCGAATACCTAAACCTACACAACCGAAGCCGACTACACAAATACAGCTGAGTGCCACAGCCGGAGCCTAATAGCTATAACCAAAAGCCGATTACAGTCACCCCATCAGCCCGACGGAACGAGTCCCAACACACCGAAACGACCCGACGATCCCGCATGTTACTATCTATCTAAACACAGAAGTATTACAATAAAGAATTTAACTTTACCACTCGTGTTTTTAACTTAAGGTTTGTGGGTCCTTGAGTTGACCCTGGCTGCGACTGAGCTCACTTCAGCCTTAGACAAAACCACTCGTTATACTCGTTATTATATAGGAGATATCTGAACAATTTCCCTAAAATTATCACCACAGGAGCACTGGAATTTATTTGCAAATTAAGTTTCCAATCTCCATCGTCGTTTTCAAAGAAGTAATGTTCACCAATCCCAGGACCTTCAGATCAAAGAGCGCACCAAATAGTGACTTTTTCTAGATGTGATGGTCTCTCTTCAATTATTTGAGTATTCTCGCGACCCCAAATTCGATTTTGTTCGATTTTAGAATCACAATTCCCACAAATTATTTAATGGACTGTTCTTTAGATTTTGTTACATTTCGAAAATGTCTCCCTTCCAATTCCCAGCGAATTTCATCGCTGATTCTATCCAAAAGCACATTCGTTGCAATTAATTTTTCACACATTCACACTTGGTATTCTCTGTATTCGATAGAATTCATTTGCTTATACGAAACACCAAGACACAAATTTTTAATTGGTTTCACTGGTATTTTTATACCCTTCACCATAGTATGGAGGGTATATTAGTTTTGTTTTTTCCGTTTGTAACACATCGAAATAATCATTTCCGACCCTATAAAGTATATATATTCTTGATCAGCGTAAAATTCTATGACGATATAGCCATGTCCGTCTGTCCGTCTTTCTGTTGTAATCACTCTAGCGTCTAAACGAATTGAGATAGAGCGCCAAAATTTTGCATAGAGTCGTCTTTTGTCTGCAGACAGGTCAATTTCGAAGATAGGCTTTATCGGTCCACGTTTAGGCATAGCTCCCATATAAGGGTACCCCGGTATTTTGGGGTTCTTGAGCGTGTTTTTCAATCGAATTCGCTGAAATTTGCTACATTGGGTTCTTATTGGGTACTTAATATCACCACAAAAATTTATAAATATAGGTCCACTTTTTCTGGTAGCCCCCATATAACGGTACCTCCTAATTCGCAGTATTTTGGGGGGTTTTGCTCGTATTTTTCCGCCGAATTAGCTGTAATTTAGTATATTAGTTTTGTTTTTCCGTTTGTAACACATCGAAATAATCATTTCCGACCCTATAAAGTGTATATATTCTTGATCAGCGTAAAATTCTATGACGATATAGCCATGTCCGTCTGCCTGTCTGTCTGTCCGTCTGTTGTAATCACTCTAGCGTCTAAACGAATGAAGATAGATCGCCAAAATTTTGCATAGAGTCGTCTTTTGTCTGCAGGCAGATCAAGTTCGAAGATGGGCTATATCGGTCCACGTTTATGCATAGCTCCCATATAAGGGTCCCCCCAAATTTTCGGTATTTTGGGGTTCTTGGACGCGTTTTTCAACCGAATTCGCTGAAATTTGGTACTTTGAGTTCTTATTGAGTAGCAAATATTCCCACTAAAAATTATAAATATAGGTCCATTTTTTCGGACAGCCCCCATGTAAGGGTAACCCCAAAATTTCGGTATTTTGAGGTTCTTGAGCGTGTTTTTCAACAGAATTCGCTGAAATTTGGTACTTTGAGTTCTTATTGGGTAGCAAATATCCCCATTAAAAATTATAAATATAGGTCCATTTTTTCGGACAGCCCCCATGTAAGGGTACCCCCAAATTTCGGTATTTTGAGGTTCTTGAGCGTGTTTTTCAACGGAATTCGCTGAAATTTGATACTTTGAGTTCTTATTGGGTACCAAATCTCCCTACTAAAAATTATAAATATAGGTCAATTTTTTCTGGTACCCCCCATATAACGGTACCCCTCAATTTTCGGTATTTTGGGGTTCTTGAGCGCGTTTTTCAACCGAATTCGCTGAAATTTGCTACATTGGGTTCCTATTGGGTACTAAATTTCTCCACAAAAAATTATGAATATAGGTCCACTTTTTCTGGTAGTCCCCATAAAACGGTACCTTCTATTTTTCAGTATTTTGGGGATTTTGATCGTATTTTTCTGCAGATTTAGGTGTAATTTAGTATTTTGAGTTCCTAATAGGTCACTAAACTCTCCACAAAAAATTATTAATATAGGTCCATTTTTTCGGATAGCCCCCATATAAGGGTACCCCCAATTTTCGGTATTTTGGGGTTCTTGAGCGCGTTTTTCAACCGAATTTGTTGCAAATTGGTATTTTGTAGTCGTATATGGTACCAAATCTCCCTACCAAAAATTATTAATATTCGCCCCCATTTTGGGGTAGTCCCCATATAACCCCCTTTTTATACCCTCCACCATAGTTTGTAACGCATCGAAATACTCATTTCCGACCCTATAAAGTATATATATTCTTGATCAGCGTAAAATTCGAAGACGATTTATGCATGTCCGTCTGTCCGTCTGTCTGTTGTAATCACCAAAATTTCGCATAGAGTCGTCTTTTGTCTGCAGGCAGGTCAAGTTCGAAGATGGGCTATATCGGTCCACGTTTAGGCATAGCTCCCATATAAGGATACCCACCAATTTTCGGTATTTTGAGGTTCTTGAGCGTTTTTTTCAACCGAATGCGCTGAAATTTGGTACTTTGAGTTCTTATTGAGTAGCAAATATCCCCACTAAAAATTATAAATATAGGTCCATTTTTTCGGACAGCCC